ACTCATTCAGGCACTCACTTACTCACACACTCACTGTCACCATCTCCTTTACCTCTGAGGTCTGTAACAATTCATTCAGTTTATTTATTTTTAACAGTTCAGATGTGCGATCAAAGCTTTCTGAATGAGACTGCCTGATTGTCCACTGACATTTCTGAAACCAAATAACATTGTTTAGAGGATTGTTGGCTTTTGGGCTGTAGCTGTGAATAAGCTTTCGTTGTTTTAGAAGGCGTGTGGACTCAGGTGTGTTCTTGGTACCAGACAAGTACAAATTGGAGGAGAAAGAAGAATCCATCTAGAGGAAAGCTGGTTCCATTCTTTTTGATTTATCAAAATAAGAAATACAATTTCACCTCTCAGATGAAAATAGCAAAGTCAATATGAAATATGCTTTTGGTGAAACTGGTCAGTGAAGTTACTACAAATTTTGTTAACTAAAGAGGAAAAAGAGAAAAACTTTCTCTGCCTTAATGTTAGATCAGAAATTTCACTTTTTGTTGTAGTTTTCTTCTTAAAAAAATGTATTTTTTTAATTGAGATGTAATTTGTATATTATAAAATTCAGCATTTTAAATGCACGACTTGGTGGCATTTAATATATTCACAGAAATGTGCAACTTTCACCACTAACTCCAGCATATTTTCATCATCCCAAAGAGAAACCCTATGCTCTTAGCAGTTAGTCCCCCTTCTTTCCGTCTCTATGGGTTTGTCTCTTCTGGACATTTTATATAAACGGAACTATCCAGTATGTGGACTTTCTATCTGGCTTCCTTCACTTAGCGTAACATTTTTAAGATTCATCTGCATTGCAGCATGTACACTACGTCATTCGTTTTTATGGCTGAATAACCTCCCGTTGCACGATTATACCACATTTGTCTTTTTATAATTGGATGGACATCTGTGTTATTTCTGTTTTTTAGCTATTACAAATAATGCTGTTGTAAACATTCATGTATGAATTTTGTGTGGATGTATGTTTTTATTTATCTGGAGATTTATGCATATATATATGACATATGTATATTTAGGAGTAAAACTACTGGGTCATATGGTGAATCTATGTGTAACTTTCTGAGGAACTACCGAACGGTTTTCAAGGTGACTGTGCCATTTAAAACAATTTTTTGTTGTGGTTAGTGTATGTATGTATATACACAGAACCATACATCTGTCTTTTCAATATTTTTTACACGTACAGTTCAGCAACATTATGTTCCTTGTGCTTTGCAACTGTCACCACCAGGCATTTCCAAATTTTTTCATCACCGTTCACAGAAGATCAGTGTTCCCTCAGCAGGGACTCCCTATTTCCCCCACCCTGCCACCCCTGGAAACCACTAATAAACTTTGGTCTCTATACATTTGCCTAGTCTTGATAGTTCATAAAAGTGGGGTCATGCACTATGTGTCTTTCTGTGACTGACTTATTGTACTTAGCATAATGTTTTCGAGGTTCATCCATGTTTTAGCATGTCCCACGACTTCATTTCTCTTTATGGCAAAGTACCATTCTGTTGTATGTACAGACCACATTTTGTTTATCCATTCATCTGTTGAAGAACATTTAAGTTGTTTTCATCTTTTGGCTATTGTGAATAATGCTGCAGTGAGTATTGGTATACATGTGTTTGTTTATTTTCTTGCTTTCAAGAAATAGGAGTGGAATTGCTGGATAATACGGTGAGTGTATGTTTAACTTTTTGAGAAACCTTCAAACTGTTTTCCACAGCAGCCGTACCATTTTACAATTTCACCAGTAGTGGATAAGGATTCCAATTTCTCCACATCCTCACCAGCATGTGGTGACGCAGTGGTTAAGCACTCAGCAGCTAACCAAAAGGTTGGCAGTTCAACCCCACCAGCCGCTCTGTGGGAGAAAGATGTGGCAATCTGCTTTCCTAAAGATTACAGCCTTGGAAATCCTTTCGAGCAGTTCTACTCTGCCCTATAGTGTTGCTATGAGTATTAGATACATTGTTTCCCCCAATTTTTTTTCAATCTCTAGGTTGTCCCTACTGTGTTGTAAAGTCCTTTAATGAACAGAAGTTTTAAATTTTGATGAAGCCCTGTTTATCTACTCTTTATTTTGTTGCTTATGTTTTTGGAGCCCTGGTGGCATAGTGGTTATGTGTTCGGCTGCTAACCAAAAGGTCAGTGGTTTGAACTCACCAGCCTCTTCGAAGGAGAAAGATGTCACAGTCTGCTTCCATAAAGATCTACAGCTTTGGAAACTCTATGGGGCAATTCTACTCTTTCCTATAGGGTTGCTATGAGTCGGAATCTACTCGATGGCAACCAATTTTGATCATATCTAAGAATCCATTATTATATACGAAGTTTCAAAGCATTACACTTATGTTTTCTTCTAAGAGGTTTATGGTTTTAGTTCTTACATTTAGGTCCTTGATCTATTTTTAACTGATTTCTGTATATGGTATGAAGTATGGGTCCAGCTTTATTTTATTTATTTATTTACATATGAAAATCCAGTTGTCCAGCAATATTTATTAAAGGGAGTATTTTTCCTCATTAAATGGCCTTAATGCCCTTGTCAAAAATCAATTGACCGCAAATGTGTGGGTTTATTTCTGGACTCTCAATTCTATTCCATTGGTCTATATATCTATCATTATACCAGTACCATTACTATAGCTTTATAGGAAGCTTTGAGATCAGGAAAGGTAAGTTCTCCTACTTTGTTCTTTTTCAGGATTTCTTTGGTTATTCCAGGCCATTTAGATGTCATTCTAAACTACAGTTCCATACAAATTTGAGGACTGACTTTTCCATTTCTGTAAAGAAGGTTGTTGAAATTTTGATGGGAAATGTGTTAAATCTGTAGACTGTTTGGCATTGAATATATAGAAACTATTGACATACTAATATGAAATCTTCCAATCCATGAATATAGATTGTCCTTTCATTTTCTTAGGAGTTCTTTAATTTCTTTCAGTACTGTTTTACAGTTTTCAGTGTACAAGTTCTTTCACTTATTTGGTTAAATTTAGTCCTAGGATTTTTATTCTTTTAAATGCTATTGTAAATGGAATTGTTTCCTTAATTTCCTTTTCAGAATGCTCATTGCTGATGTATAGAAACCCAGCTGATTTTTGTGTGTTGACCTTGTATCCTGCCACATAACTGTAGTAGCTTTCTTGTGGATTCTTTGGGGTTTTCTATATATATAGGATCATGTCAACAGTGAAAAGGGATAGTTTTACTTCTTCCTCTCCAATTTGAATACATTTTATTTCTTTTTCTTGCCTGGTTGCTCTGGCTAGTACTTCCAGTACAATATACTGAATAGCAGTGGTGAGAGTGGGCATCGTTGTCTGTTCCTGATCTTAAGAGGAAAGCTCTCAGTCTTTCACCATTGACTATGATGTTAGCTGTTGTTTTTTCATAAGTGTCCTTCATCAAGTTGAGAAATTTCCCTTCTATTCCTAGCTTGTTGAGTATTTTTGTCATGGAAGGATGTTGGATTTTGTTAAATGCCTTTTCTGTGTCCATTGAGACGATCATGTACTTCTTTTCCCTTGTTATTTTAATATGATTTATTACATTGCCTGATTTTCTAATGTTGAGCCACTCTTGCATTCTTGGGATAAATTTCACTTGATCATGGTTTATAATCCTTTTAATACACTTTTAGATTTGGTTTGCTAGTATTTTGTTGAAGATTTCCACTTCTATGTTCATAAGGGATATTGGTCTGTAAATTTTTTTTTTTTTTTCTCGTGGTATCTTTGTCTGGCTTTGGTATCAAAGTAATGCAAGCCTCATATAATGAGTTAGAAAGTGTTCCCTCTCTTCTGTTTTTTGGGAAAGCTTAGAAGCATTTGGGTCACTTCTTTTATAAATGTCTGGTAGAATTCCTCAGTGAAGCCATCTAGTCCAAGGCTTTTCTGTTTTGGAAGTGTTTTGACTTGAATCAATCTCTTTGTTTGCTCTGAGTTTGTAGAAATCATTTATTTCTTCTTGAGTCAGTATAGGAAGTTTATGCATTTCTAGAAGTTTGTCCATTTAATCTAGGTTATCCAATTTGTTGGCATATACCTTAGTCAGGGTACTCTAGAGAAACAAAACAGATGAGATTTCTCTATATCCCTATATCTCACACAGAGAGAGCGATAAAGAGAGAGATTTACTCAAGAAATTTGCTTATGCAGTTGTGGGAG